GAAATAAAAGAGATCCTTGACTCTAGGAGATATCGTGGAACAACTCAGTACCTAGTTGCCTGGAAACACCTCCCTGCCTCACAAAATGAGTGGGTCCATAAACGTCACGTCAGAGCCCCGAAGCTATTGAAGAAGTTTCACACAGAGTATCCTAACAAGCCTAACTAAATTTTTTACTTGTGTTTTCTTTCAGGTGGATCTCTCTTATTGTTAAGAGGGGCCGGATGTCAGAATCCAATTATATTTCATCTTTAATTATCAAACATAGAAACTCCCAATTCTGCCTTCTCTGGATTCTGCCATAAGAGGGAGAAAAGGGGGAGAGCAAAGGGGCTTTATGGCCCTCACTTCCTTCAGCACACTTCAAAGGACTGAATGTGTGTTTATTGTGGCCTCTAAGCTTTAACATATCAAAGAAGAGTAATTGCCTTTCATGTAGTTATCTGAAGTCTCCATCCAGACGGAAGAAGAAAGGGGATGGAATTGTGATACTTGAAACTATCACTGGAAGGGGGGTTGATTGGGTGGGACTACTGGGGAACCCCTTAAAACCTTGAATGGGAGAGCTTGAACCCCAAGTCCTGTCTAGCATGCCTGCAACCATTTTCTCTTAATAAAGGATTCCTGTTGGAAGAACTATTCCAAGAGTTCTGTCTTCTTAAGATGCAAAGTGGGGACGTGGCAGTGCCTGGAGATAGCAGAATAGAAGAGAAAGAACTGGAGAAGATAACAAAATACAAAGACCTACAAATAGAAATAGAAAGACTGTGGCAAAAGCAAGCAAGGGTAGTACCAATAGTAATAGGCTCCTTGGGTGCAATCCCAAAACAACTGGAGCACCACTTGAACACCATTGGCATTGACAAATTCGCTATTAGTCAATTGCAAAAGGCGGCCTTATTAGGAACTGCTTCCATCCTGCGACGATACTGTAATACCATCAAACATCCACATCTGCCTATCCCAGGTCCTGGGTAAGGACTCGATAGGTAGACAAAATGCCAAATCCAGTCTGAACATCTGGCTGACTGTGCGATGATTGATAATAATAATAATGATGATGATGATGATGATGGTGGTGGTGGTGGTGGTGGTGATGGTGGTGGTGGTCATCTAGTCCAACCCCCTGCTCAGGCAGGACAACCTATACCAGTGATGGCGAACCTTTTACAGACCGAGTGCCCAAACTGCAACCCAAAACCCACTGATGTATCACTGGGTGCCAGGTGGGCGTGGCCCATTGGGTGGGCGTGGCTGCGGTGGTAACGGCAGACTGGGTGGGGCTAAAAAGTTCAATCAATCAATTCTAACTTAGTGAGATCTTTTTTTCCCCCGCGAGAAGTTGAAATTGATTGATTGATTGAACCTTTTTTTTTTTTTTTTTGCACACGGGAGGTTTTATAAAAGGTTTTATAAACCCCAGCTGAAGGCCTAGGACTGGGGCAACGGCACGCGTGCCCAATGAGAGGGCTCTGAGTGCCACCTGTGGCACGCATGCCATAGGTTCGCCACCACAGCCCTATACCATTTTTGGACAAATGGCTGTCCAGTCTCTTCTTAAAGATTTCCAGTGTTGGAGCATTCACCGTTTCTGGAGGCAGGTTGTTCCACTGGTTAGTTGTTCTAACAGTCAGGAATTCTCCTTAGTTCCAGGTTGCTTCTCTCCTTGATTAGTTTCCATCCATTGCTTCTTGTCTTGCCTTCAGGTGCTTTGGAGAACAGCTTGACTGCCTCTTCTTTGGGGCAGCCCCTGAGATATTGGAACACTGCTATCCTGTCCCCCCTCGTCCTTCTCTTCGTTAAACTGGACATACCCAATTCCAGCAACTGTTCCTTATATGTTTTAGCCTCCAGTCCCCTGATCATCTTTGTTGCTCTTCTCTGCACTCTTTCGAGAATGAGGGACTCCAGCATGGTGGAGGAGACCTGTTCAGCACCTGAGGTCTTGGACTCTGGAACTGACCGGGGCAATGCAGACCACCTCTGAACCCACAGAGGGTCCAGGATGTGGGAAGAATTTATAAATTATATAACTGTGTTAGAAATATTGTATATGGCAGGGCTTTTCAACCAGTGCTACGGGTACCACCTGTGGTCCATTGGCACCTGGCAGGTGGTACGCGACCATCCTAGAAAAGGGGTAGCGGGGGAGGGGAATGAGCTGAACCGATGACAGCACTGCACATGCCTGAGCGAGAGACGGCTGGAGCTGCAGGGCTCAGCGGAAGCGCCAGGATCAGTGCCGCTTTCCAGCTGATCGGCGCTTCTTTGGGGCTGTCAGGGCTCAATGGAAGCACCAGGATCAGCGCCAGGCTCCAGCTGGAAAGCAGCACTGATCCTGGTGCTTTTGCTGAGCCCAGAAGAAGCACCAATCAGCTGGAAAGCAGCACTGATCCTGGCGCTTCTGCTGAGTCCAGAAGAAGCGCCGATCAGCTGGAACGTTGCAGCCTCTCCAGGGTCTTGTGATTGACATTCAGATGCTTGGCAACTGATTCATATTTATGACAGTCACAGTCTCCCAGGGTCACGTGAAGTGACCAAAACCTGCTGCAACCACCCAGCAGATGGGGGGAATAAAAACCAAACACCCCCCACCCCACCCCCATTGCCAATCCTCAACAGAAATGCTCACAACAATGAAAACCTAAGACAGGAGGAAGAGCACCGCCAGGTGGGCAGGCAGGTGTCTTGCTCGGCTGTGGCTTGGGGGGCACTTTTTTCAGGGCCATTGTAACTTCGAACAGTCATTAAGCGAACTGTTGTAAGTCGAGGACTACCTGTACTTTATCACTTTTTTCCCTTTTCTTTTTTTTGGTCATCAAGTTTTTGACACCTTGCTAGGCGACTGGTGGTATTCGGATATTGCCATATCCTAAAAGTGGTACAATGGGTGAAAAGGTTGAAAAGCCCTGCACTACCGGGCCATGGTGTAGGGAATCATAAGTTTGCCAACGTAGGTCTCCAACAAAGTTACTGTTGAACAGCCTCCAAAATCCTTTTGAACTTACAGCAAATGTAAATAATTGTTGAACACTTATTTCAAATTATAAATACCCGCAAGCAAGCACAGAAAAATTAAATGAACACAATGGGAAGATAATTATAACACAGTTCAAAGGAAGAGACTTAATTCACATCTTTTGACTTAATTAATCGGAGGTGGGGCATCAACACATACATACATCTATGCCCCTTAAGTGTCACCCTAGAACAGGGGTAGGCAACCTCGGCTCTTTTATGACTTGTGGACTTCAACTCCCAGAATTCCTGAGCCAGGGTGGGGGAAACTATGGCCCCTTCATGACTGGTGGACTTCAACTCCCAGAATTCCTGAGCCAGCATGGGGGAACTATGGCCCCTTCATGACTCGTGGATTTCAACTCCCAGAATTCCTGAGCCAGCCATGCTGAGGGGAAAGGGAGAGGTTTCCAAGCTGTGCCATGCTGGCTCAGGAATTCTGGGAGTTGAAGTCCTTGAGTCATAAAAGAGCAAAGGTTGCCTACCCCTGCCCTAGTACCAGTTCGTACACACACTCACACCCCGCAAGATTCACACCAAGGACAGGCTCCCCTATAAAGCAGCCCTTTTGTATCCCATCTTCTCTGTAGCTACCCCCACAGGCAAGCAAGCCTCTTTGCTTTTGGCAATAAAGAAATACATCTCTTTTCCTCACATCTGTCTGGATTTCATTTTGATTTGTTCTTGTGCAATCCCGGCTTGAGTTGGAACCCCAAATTATTCTCCTCTGAGGAACTTCACGACGTTTTCCCAGCCGTCTTCCTTACAAAAAGTCTCACTCAAAGGACATTTGGTGGGTTTGCAGAGGTGGGCAAAGTCAGCAATCTGCAGAAAGACTGGCTGGCTTTATTTCCTGATTTGGCACACCTCTGCAGTCCCAATCAGCCGGCTTTTGCGCCTAAGGTCAGACTGGAACTCTCCATCTCCTGGTGATTGGCCCAAAATCACCCAGGCAGTTTTCACACCTAAGGCAGGACTAGAATTCACCATCTCCTGGTGATTGGCCCAAAGTCACCCAGCTGGCTTTCATGCCTAAGGCGGGACTAGAATTCACCGTCTCCTAGTGATTGGCTCAAAGTCACCCAGCTGGCTTTCATGCCTAAGACGGGACTAGAATTCACCGTCTCCTGGTGATTGGCTCAAAGTCACCCAGCTGGCTTTCATGCCTAAGGCAGGACTGGAATTCACCGTCTCCTAGTGATTGGCTCAAAGTCATCCAGCTGGCTTTCATGCCTAAGGCGGGACTAGAACTCACCGTCTCCTGGTGATTGGCTCAAAGTCACCCAGCTGGCTTTCATGCCTAAGGCGGGACTGGAATTCACCGTCTCCTGGTGATTGGCTCAAAGTCACCCAGCTGGCTTTCATGCCTTAAGGCAGGACTAGAACTCACCGTCTCCTGGTGATTGGCCCAAAGTTACCCAGCTGGCTTTCATGCCTAAGGCGGGACTAGAACTCACCAGCTCCTGGTGATTGGCCAAATGTCACCCAGTCGGCATCCATGCCTAAGGCGGGACTAGAATTCACCCTCTCCCTGGCCACGCCCCTGTTCCTTCTGCAGACTCGGCTGCCTCTTAGCTGACTGTGGCCTAGTCTGTGGCCCTGACCCGTCTCCCAAGGCCCTTACAGGCAGAGTTTTTCTTTCTTGGCAAAACCACGAGATCCTTGCACAGTTCCCTCCCCACATTTCCTACAAAATCTGAACTTCAGCCGCGATCGGTGAGCTTCTGCCCTGGACACTCATGGTACATTCTTCAGCCTCTGCCAGGGGCTGGCCTCTTCCTTTCTCCAGGGATTGTGGTAATGTGTATTGGATTGTGTACACCCCTGTTGTCGCAGACATTTCTCCAATTTGCCCCCCCTCCCCATCCTATAGTGGGAACCCGGAGACGTTCCCAATGAGGCTCTGGTCAGTTGGGAGCCAAACTCCGGTGCCCCCGCCGAGGTCCCAGAGCAGCCGGGTGCGAATGCCGGCGAACACTTACCTGTAAGAGTAGATGGGCTTTGGAAAGAGGGGTGGTGGTGGTGGCTGTGGAGGTCCTGGCAGCCCCATCCTCTGGTAGGGGTGGTGGGGAGCCGAGAGGAAGGGGAGCGGAAGGGCGTTGCTGGCGAGATACTGAAAGCAGAAGAAGAGGAGAAATGCAGCTGGGCTTGCTTTCTCGGTCAGATTTTATGGTCAGTCTTTTTAAGGGCAAGGAACTAAAAAATGTGGAAAGTCCATCTTGGATTCTCAAAGCCCGCCAAGAAACGGGCTGAAAGCCACAGAGTGTAATTTGCAATAGTGGCGAATATCAGAGTGAAATTTCATTTAAAAGGCAAATGCAAAGTTCTTCCCTGAGGAAATGATACTTAATTGCATAATTCTAGGATAGGAGATTGAGGGATTGATGGGTGGATGGATGGGTGGATGGGTTATGCTCTGTGCCTTCAAGTCTGTCAACCTATAGAACAGTGTTTCTCAACCTTGACCAGTTTAAGGCATGAGGACTTCAACTCCCAGAATTCCACAGCCAGCATTGCTGGCTGTGGAATTCTGGGAGTTGAAGTCCACATGCCTTAAACTGGTCAAGGTTGGGAAACACTGCTATAGATGGCACAGAATACAGATGGCTGCAACAGCAGAACCCTGCTTCCAAATCCGTGGACAGGAATCACCTTGGTGGGAAAAGATGGAAGGAGAGAGAGGATGACCAGCTGGAGGAGGAGGGATATTCAGAGACAGTAGCGATGGGGACATCGTTGCCCCCCCAAAAATAGTCCAGTTTAGGAGCCGATTGCCATGGAGAAAAAACTATGGGGTCACTAAGAGCCAACACAGACTTGATGACCCATCTTCAAACAAACGGACATTTTGCAATAATTGGCAGATTGCAATTGTCAGTGTAGGCGTCAGCTGTGAACACAACTCCAGGCTGCTACAAGCCAAACGTTTGTGGCAATGTGGGAAAGAGAGGAAGGGAAGCAACGGGCTTCGAGGGGCCAGGTCTAAAAGGGAATGGCATCCCCCACGGAGGGTCAACCCCTCGGATGCTGCTGCCGTTCCACTTTGCAGTCAAGTCCCTCCTCCAGCGGCCCCATCCAGACCATCGGAGTGGCTTCTGCCATGTTGGAGCCCAGCTGCCTGCTTAAGTTGGGGGACGGGATGTCCAGCCCTGGTGCCCCACATCAGCTAGAACCTACGTGGGCGGGGGGGGGAACTCATTTTCTCAAGGGGCCACGTGAGAAACTGGAGCCGTCGTGGAGGGCCGAACTAACATGGCCTGTGAAGACGATATGCAGACATGCACGCACATCCGCACATCGAGAAAAAAAACGCAGTCGCCTTCAAACTACACAGTCCTCTGATTACAATAGTTCATAAAAGGAGATAAAACTCAATGTATTACTTAGCAGCAGAAATTTTGGGCTCAGTTGTCAAGTCAAGCTGTCCTCAACTTGCAACAGTTAATTTAGTGACCGTTCGAAGCTACAAAAGCACTGAAAAAAGGGACATATGATCATTTTTACACTTATGACCGTTGTAGCCTTTTGACGTGTTCAAAATTCAGAAACTCAGCAACTGATCCACTGCTGTGTCCCCAAGGTCATGGGGTCCCCTTCTCTGACCAGCAAAGGCAATAGGGGAAGCCAGATTCACTTAACAACAGTGGCAAAAAGGTCGTAAAATGGGACAAAACTCACTTAGCAACTCTCTCGCTTAGCAACAGTGGTCATAAGTGAAGGATATTTGTAAAAGCAATCCATTCAGGCTGGACAGGGCAGTCAAAAGGCCAGATGTGGACCAGGAGCCGTAAAATGGCCAGGTCTGCCCTTGGGCGTTAATGGTTCAAGGGACCCCTCCCAACTTGAATAGAATAGACTAGACTAGACTAGACTAGACTAGAATAGAATAGACTAGACTAGAATAGAATAGAATTAAAATTAGATTAGATGAATAGAATAGAATAGAATTAAAATTAGATTAGATTAGAATAGAATAGAATTAAAATTAGATTAGATTAGAATAAAATTAAAATTAGATTAGAATAGAATAGGATAGGATAGGATAGGATAGGATAGGATAGGATAGGATAGGATAGCATAGAGCTAGAAGGGACCTTGGAGGTCTTCTAGTCCAGCCACCCCCTCAAGCAGGAGAACCTATACTATCTCAGACAAGTGACTGTGTAGCCTCTTCTTGAAAATCTCCAGTGATGGAGCGCCCACAATTTCTGGTGGCCAGCTGTTCCACTGGTTAATTGTTCTCACTGTTGGGAAGTTTCTCCTTAATTCCAGGTTGCTTCTCTCTTTGGTCAGTTTCCAACCATTGTTTCTTGTCCTTCCCTCTGGCGCTTTGGAGAATAGTTTCACCCCCTCTTCTTTGTGGCAGCCCCTCAGATACTGGAACGCTGCTGTCTTGTCTCCCCTATTTCTTCTTTTCTCTGTGACTCTGTGGACAGTATGATGAAGAGGGGCAGGATGGCTGAAGGTCTCTGACCTTTAATTGGCCGGCATCTGACAGCAATGACCTTGGAAGGAGAGTTTGATAAGCAGCAGATAATCTGAGATAATCAAACCAGGAAGAAGTGACGGGCTCGGTAGGCAGAGCGATGGCCCAAGACTAGCCGAACCAGTTCCAGAGCTGATATAAGCTTGCCTGTGTGTTTTGAAGCTTCTCCAACCTCTCACCTGCAAAAGCCTTGCTCCCGTGACCCATAATCCCCAGCCAGTAGAATCCTGACCTACCCCTGGAATTGCAGAACTTGAAATCCAGGAGATTCAGAAGACCCCAAATTGGGGAAGACCATACAGGGCAAAATGGCCATTCATCAAAAGGCTTTGAAACCAAATGCACAGCTGTAGTATAGGTGGTACCTTGCTCAATAGTAGCAACTAGGAGAGGGATCTTGGAGTCCTAGTGGACCATCCCTTCAATACGAGCCAGCCGTGCGCTGCAGCTGCCCCAAAAGCCAACACAGTGCTGGGCTGCATTAGCAGAGGGATAGAATCAAGATCACAGGAAGTGTTAATACCACTTTACAAGGCCTTGGTAGGGCCACACTTGGAATACGGCATCCAGTTTTGGTCACCACGATGTAAAAAAGATGCTGAGACTCTGGAAAGAGTGCAGAGAAGAGCAACAGAGATGATTAGGGGACTGGAGGCTAAAACATATAAGGAAAGGCTGCTGGAATTGGGGATGTCTAATTTAACAAAGAGAAGGTCGAGGGGGGACATGATAGCTGTGTTACAGTATCTCAGGGGTGCCCCAAAGAAGAGGGAGTCAAGCTATTCTCCAAGGCGCCTGAAGGCAGAACAAGAAGCAACGGATGGAAACTAATCAAGGAGAGAAGCAACCTGGAACTAAGGAGAAACTTCCTAATAGTGAGCACAATTAACCAGTGGAACAGCTTGCAACCAGAAGTTATGGGTGCTCCTTCCTTGGAGCTTTTTAAGGGGAGATTGGACAGCCATTTGCCTGAAATGGTATAAGACTTCCTGCCTGAGCAGGGGTTGGACTAGAAGACCTCCAGGGTCCCTTACAACTGTGTTATTCTGTATAATCTGGGCAGATTTTCCTGAGTTGGTTGAGAAAAAAAACTAGGTATGGACTTCAAGGGGGTACTACCAAGGCTTTTCCTGGACCCCAAGCCGGCCCAGGGTTCAGACCCAGCGCCACAAAGGGCAATTGCCCCCAGATCTCCATCCCAAAGACCCCTCCTCAAATGCCAGTTTGCCTCTTTGGTAGACAGGGAAATAATTCAGCTGCGTTGAATGCAAAGGTCCTCCAGTTACAGGACTTCACTGAGCCTGGCAAATGCAGCCGGAAGCTGTGATGGGCCTTCACTTCAGCCCTTACCTGGTGGAAGGGGTGGGAGGTGCAGTACCCTGGGGGTCCGTGGGGCTGGCAGCAGTAGGGGCCGGGCTGCTCCTCCAGGGGGGCTGTTTTCAGCCTGGCATGGGCCTCCTGTGGGGAAGAGAATGTGGGGGTCCTTGAGATCTCCCCAAAGGACAAAACCCTCTCCTGCCCAGGCCAGAGAGATGTAGGAGCCAACCTAGACCCACGTGGCAGAAACCCAGGGGCCCCGGAGCACGGATGAAGCCCACCCGGCTTCTTGGCCTCCATCACCCATCATCCCCTGCTCCTGCCCTCAATTTTAGGGTTATCTGCTATCGTATCTAGTTCATGCAGCTCTGGGGGGGGGGTTTCCTTCAATCCAGGGGGAGGGCACAGAGGGATCAGTGCCCACCCACCCACCCACCCTTGCAGACCTGTCCCTGTCTGCCACCCTGAGCATAACATTACAGGCACTCCTCGGCTTGCCATGCTTCGTTTAGTGACCGTTCGAAGTTATAACAGCACTGAAAAAAGTGACCTATGGCTGGTTTTCTCTGTTAAGAGCATCATTTTCAGGGTCACGTGATCAACATTTGGCCGCTGGGCAACTGGCTCGTATCGGTGGCTATTGCAGTGTCCCGGGGTCGTGTGATCCCCTTTCAAATTTCTGTGGCTAAGCGAGACCGTCGTTAAGTGAGTTTTGCCCCATTTGATGACTTTTATTGCAACTGGTTGTTAAGCGAATCACTGAAGTTGATAAGTGAGTAACCGGGCGTTGAGTGGATCCAGCTTGCCCCGTCAGCGCCACTTGGCAGAAGGTGGCAAAAGGGGATCACGCGACACCCCCGGGACACACTGCGACCGTCGTAACTCTGAGCCAGCGGCCAAGAATTTTGATCACGCGACCGCCGGGACACTGCAAGGGTTGTGAGAGTGAAAACCGGCCATAAGTTCACTTTTTTCAGGGCTGTTGTGACTTTGAATGGTCGGTAACAACTTTGAGCGGTAAATGAAAATATATAAAAAAGCAAGAATAAAGTGTTCAGGAAATTTAATGTAACCCTTCAGGAATGCAAACAAAACTTTGATGCAATACGGACGCCTGCCTTGGGAGGGATGGGGGTTGGGGCTGGACTAGATGACCTCTGAGGTCCCTTCCAACTCCAGGCTCCTGCCCCCCTCTCGGGTTCAGCAGTTGGGGGGGTCTTCCGGAGGGGGGAGGGGGGGAGGGAGAGACCCTGGCTGGGGGGGGGCTAGATAGTTGAGCCCCAGGCTGCGGAGGCCACTAGGAACCAAGCCCATCGTCCCCGGCGCTGGCTTTCAGCTGGCCACCCAGAGGACTCACCTGGGCCGGCGGCAGGTGGGGCTCCTGCCCGAGGCTGCTGTGCGGCGTCCCGCTGCTCCAGGCCGGATCGGGGCCCAGGTGGGGCAGCTGGGCGGGAAAGCCGTCGAAGGCGTCCTGGGCCGCGCCGGCCGGGAAGGGCTGGCCGGCCTCCCTCGCCAGGGCCAGCCGCGCCTCGGGGAAGGGCTCCGCCGGCCCCGGCCGCTGGTAGGGGTGGAAGGGGCTCCGCCGGGCGCCCCCGGGGAAGCGGCCGCAGGGCGCGGCGCCCCCGTCCTCGTAGGCGGAGCGGCGGGGGGGCTCGGCCGGCGGCGGCACCTCGTAGGCGGCCGTCTCCCGGGGAAGGTGCTGGCCGGCGGGGACGCGGGCGAAGAGCTGCTCCGGGCAGGGCGGGGAGGCGGCGGAACTGCGCGGGGATCCAGGAGGGCTTCGGTCCGCCCGGCCGTGTCCGTCGCGGGGCTGGCGGTGGAAGCCCGGATGCGCCTGTGGGGAAGAGCCGCGCTGGGGTGTGAGGGACCCCGCGAAGGGGAGGGGGAGGAGAGGAGAGGACGAGGGGGGCAGAAGGGAAGGGAGAACATAGAATGGAGTGGGGTAGAGTAGAGTAGAGTAGAATAGAATAGAGTAGACTAGACTAGACTAGACTAGACTAGAATAGAATAGAATAGAATAGAATAGAATATAGAATAGAATAGAATAAGGAATAGAATAGAATATAGAATAGAATAAATTAAAACAAGAATAGAATATAGAATAGAATAGAATATAGAATGGAGTAGAATATAGAATAGAGTAGAATATAGAATAGAATAGAATAGAATAAATTAAAACAAGAATAGAATATAGAATAGAATAGAATAAGGAATAGAATATAGACTAGAGTAGAATATAGAATAGAATAGAATAAATTAAAACAAGAATAGAATCTAGAATAGGATAGAATAAGGAACACAATAGAATATAGAATATAGAATATAGAATAGAAATTTGGTGGGCAGCTGGAAAAAGCTTGCAGGGGGAGGGAGGTATTTCAGCTTGGCAAGGGGAAGACCCCTCCTAAACCATGCGGTCCTATCTGGCACCACCCCCACCCCTGGTTCCCAGAGGAGGGGCGGCCTCCGTCCCACCCCCTCCCCAACTACATCAGCCCTGTTGCCCTGCCCAGCTCAGCAGAAAGACGGGAGAGCTCAGCTTTTTTGGGATGGGGGGCTTCAAGGACCCCCCTTCCTTCCATCCCTGGGCTGTCTGGAAAGGAGGCCAAGCAGCGATCCTCACCTGCTGGGCAGGGGACACGGTCTCTTCGCAGGCCTGCATGGCGTTTCCACGTGGGTTGCTCTCCAGGGGATCCAGAGAAGGAAACTTGATCCTGGCTTGATCCTGGAGCAAGGAAACCATTGCAGGACTCAGCCAGGAATCTGGGGCAAGAAAAAACAGGACGGGATCAAGGAAGTAAATCACATTTTTGGGGGGGGGAAGGGCTGCTGGGTTCGAGCTCTGCTTTGAACCCCCCCCCCAATTCAAAGCAAGGCCCTTCCAGAGAAAAATATTCCTAGCACCCCCATCTCTTCATCCTCCCTCACCAACCTCTGGCAAAGCAACAGCCCAGCGCCCCTCCTTCAGGGAGATTGTGGGGGGGGGGTCTAGAAACATGAAATATACATAAATAAATAAAAGAGATGCCAAGATAAGCCATTTGTCACCAGCGTAGGCAGGGCTGAGTCCCAGGGCGGGCAGCAAGGAGGACGGGTCCGGAGAAGACAGGTAGCGACGGGGGTGTCGTACGGAGGAGCAACAACCGGGAGGCCCTGAGTTCTAGTCCTGCCATAAGCATGGTATGCTGGCTGGGGAATTCTGGGAGCTGATGTCCACATATCTTTAATGTTGCCACGGTTGAGAAACGCTGACTTATATGATGCCGCTGCTATAGGGCAGGGGTCCCCAACTTTGGCCACTTTATGACTTGTGGACTTCAACTCCCAGAATTCCCGAGCCAGCTATGCTGGCTCGGGAATTCTGGGAGTTGAAGTCCACAAGTCGTAAAGTGACCAAGGTTGGGGACCCCTGCTCCAGGGCAGATAAAAAGAAAAAAGAAATCCTCTGTGGAACTCCCATCCACCTGTTCATCCCCTCCCCCACATAAACACACAACAGGGGGCAACCTTCCGCTGGGCCGGGACTTTCCCCCCCCAACACCTGGAGAGTTGTGGGCCCGGCAAGGGAAGTGTGTGTGTGCAGGGGGGGGCGCTGCTACGAGATGGGAGCGCGAACCCTCCGCAAGGGTGCAATACGCACCGGGGAGGAGACCCCAAAGAATCCTGGCGCTCCGCTGGCTGCTGCTCCCCCGTTTCCCCCAAGGCGAACAGGGGGGGGGGCAAAAAGCCCCCCCTCCTCAGCTTCTGTAGTTCAAAGGGGGCGGCAGGCACACGCGGGGCGGGCCGAATCGGAAAACCAGAGCGACGGGGGGGGGCGCATTCCAAGCCGGCGAGGGCTGCGCGGAGCTGGCGGCGGTGCGCACACGCTTCCACTTGTCGGGGGTGGGGGGAACGAGGGGGGGGGTCGCCCCTGGATCCAGCTCCTGCCGACAAGGCTGGCGGGGATGAAAAACGCCCCCCCCCTTCCCCGGTGTCTCAAGGCAGGCCGCGGCAAGGGAGCCGAGCTCACCTGGTAGACCAGGTGAGCCAAAGCGAAGGGGGCGGGGGGGCCTAATCCAGCCCCAGGAACACAAGGGCCGATTGGAAGACACCTGTCTGCGGAACGGGGGGCGGGGGGGGCGATTTCCCCTGGGATTTCCCCTCTCCCTGCCTGGGAAGGAGATCAAAGGCGAGCGCATTTGCTATCCCGAAGGAAAAGACCCCGCCGCGAATCGTGTCCCGCTCCGGGCATCCGAGAAGCTGGAAGGGGCCTCGGAAGGAGCGGGAGGGGGCGACAACCAAGGCCCGGGAAAAGACGGGGCGGGGGGGGCTCCGGGTCCTCCACCAAGAGACACCAGGAATCGTCCGGTGGTCAGACTGGCGTTAAAACCGTTTAATGACATTAAAATGCAAAGGCTGAGCGGGTCTCTGGCCAAGACCCCCCCCCTCCCACCCTAGACAGGGATCCCGGCCTTCGGTGACCGGAGTCTGACCGGGGATGGGAGAGGGCAGGTGGACGGGGCGCCCGCTGGCCCGGGCGGCGGAGGCTCCCGGCGCCGCTGGGGGGGGCTGCAGCAGAGTCGCCCCCCCCTCCGCTTCTCGGGGCTTCAGGGCGGCTCTCTGCGCTGGGCCGGGCCGGGCCGGGGGGGGTCTCCCCGGCCCCACGGGGACCCAGACGCCCCGCTGCCCTCCCGGCCCCCTCGCCACGCCTGGAAGACCCGTTCAGAGGGGGACCCCCGCTCTTCCCGTTCCCGGTCTGGAGGAGGGACGGATACTCGGGCGGGGGGCTCCCCGGGGGCCCCTGAAGCGCCGGACGGAGCTGCAGCCTCCGGGCCCCAGCGGGCGAGCTCTGCCGCCCTTCGCCCGGGCTCCGCGTGGCTTGGCGGGCGGGGAGCGGCTCGCCGGCGCCGGGCCTGACCGCAAGAACCCGCCGCCCCGGTTGCCGGCTCGCTCGCTCGCCCGCCCGGCCTCCGGGGCTGCAGGAGCGCTCCGTCCTCGCTGCCGGCCGCCCGCGGCTGCCGTCCGTGTCAAGAGCGGGCGGCGCCTTTCACCCGTCGGAGCCGTCCGGACCGCCTGCGCCGCGGTCCCGCTTGGCCCGCGCGTCTCCCCTTCCAGCCCCCTCCTGACCCAGAGAGGGGGGGCAGAAAACGGGGGCGGACCGGAGAGCCCCCCTCGAAGAGGCCCCGAACTTGTGACGTTGCCGTTACTGTGATTGTGACTGCACAATTAGAAGTTCTGTAGCCCCTTTTCACGCACAGCTCACCAAAATGGGGTCCCTTTTAAGAAAGCTGTCGAGGGGCCACCTTTGGCTTTTTGGCTATCCTAGACTGACATAACTCTCCTACAATATGATAATCCTGTTGTTGTCGTTGCTGTTGTCACTGTCATTGTTGTTATGGGCTCCAGTTGCCCCCCCCCCAGAATCCCTTTGCCTCAGTCCAGATGGTCTCCATACTTGTAGGGCCCCAAATGTCCAGCTAGGGACTCCTAATCAGGTTCCACTGATTTGGCCAAGGGGGGGAGGGGTCTCCTTCCTGCTTCCTCCCCACAAGGGGCAGCTGGAAGAATAAATAGTCCAGTGGTTCTCAACCTGTGGGTTGGGACCCCATTTGGGGTCGAACAACCATTTCACGGGGGTCACCAAACAACGCAGTCCACCATTTCCCCCCCCCCTTTTCCTTAGCTGTGCTACTCCCTTTTATTCTACTGGCTTTTGAAAGCCAATAGAATAGACTCTCTTGAATAGAGTCTAATTCTATTGGCTTTCCAAAGCCAATAGGAATTGTCCAGGCTGTCTCTGCCCTGCTGAGCCCGCCAAAAGTCCCATTCTGCAAACGGTGCTGCACCGGTTGAGTAGTCCTCGACTTACGACCGGTTGAGTAGTCCTCGACTTACAATCGGTTGGGGGTCGCGGCATTAAAAAGGTTGAGAACCACTGAATTAGAGTAATATTTTTATCGTCACTTTGAATGTACCCTAATCGGCATACATTAAAATGAAATTTCGTTGCATTCAGTTCTCAAAGGCTCACCCCTCCAATATACACCACATAGCTATGACAATAAATAAAGAAGGAAGGAAGGAAGGAAGGAAGGAAGGAAGGAAGGAAGGAAGGAAGGAAGGAAAGAAAGAAAGAAAGAAAGAAAGAAAGAAAGAAAGAAAGAAAGAAAGAAAGAAAGAATTATGCATATACCACATCTATGCCCACACTGGGAGATAAATGCCAGCAGGGTCAGGTACCCTGAAGGCAAGGGAGGGGCACAGCTGCAGACCCCAGGAAGGCCCAGCTTGCCGTTTCTACCAAAGAAAATGGTGGCATCTGGTTGCCCCCCCCCCAGCCTTCCCCCCAAAGCTCTGCAGTTGGAAAGTGTGAAGGGGGGAAACGGGGGTTTGGTCAGGGCTGTCACTGGTGCCCCCCAGGATTGAAGGGTGCCCATTGGTTGCTTCCTGTAGGGAAGTCTGGCACAGAACGGCACCGTTCACGCCACAAACTTCTGAAACGAATCTGGGGTGCCGGAACTGCAGCCCCTAAAGCCGCGGAAGGACAAGGAATAAGGCCGACGCTGGTCAAGCTTAGCAAGGTGTGTGTGTGAATGTGGCCCTGGGACCAGGGTCTTC